GAGCTCCTTTTCCTCCCCCTGGCCCCTCGCTAATTTCTGTTCATTCTTAGACCTCAGCTTCGTTAGCCCACAGACCACACTGGGCACTCCCACTCCACCCCCAACTAAAGCACATGTGAAATGATCCCAGTTACTTACTTTGACAATATTTAATGTCTCTCTCCTTAAACTAAAAGATCCATGAGGGCAGAAATTGGCCAGCAGGTGACTTGTACAGGACAGTAACGGCTTACCTTCATAACCCCGTTATAAATAAGCCCAACCTTTTAGGGTTAAAAGTGTAATTTTATTTAGATGTTACTTGTACATAATCTATAGTAAGATATACAAACAGATAAAAATTGTTTAACAGGAATTTTTTTAAGACCACTTTAAATTTAATTTACAATAGCATTGGTAACAGTGCAGGATGACAGATACTCTGAATAGAACACAAAAAGTCCTTGTTACTCTGGCTGATACAGTCCCACTAGCCTTTAATGGATTAAAATGTATCATGTATTTCAATTGCAAATTATTACAAAACTTTCACAACCTAGCCACTGGGTGCTAAGAAAAGATTTTGATATTCTAAACATTTACTAAAATGAAAATGTCAATTCTTTAACAGTATACTTTTCCTAAAGAAAAATTAAAGGGTACAAAATCTTATGGTGTGGTTTTGGGCTAACAACAGAAAATCAACGATATCGTGTTTGTGTCGCTAATGTGTGACACTGACTGATCTTCTCATCCCCTCTGCCTAACCTATTAATATGAAAGAAAGCTTGTAAAATATTAAACTAAAATATACATGGGGGAAGACTGGGGATAATTTAAAATAACCTTACAATAATATATAACTACTTTACAATGCAAAATACATAGGTATGAAGTAAGCTTTTAAATGTTCTTCTCCATTTGTCTTAGTAAATACTTCTTGAAAATGAAAACTGAAAATTCAAAATATTCACTTTTTCCTTTTCATGTAATACCATGTTAGAAAAAGTCTAAATTTAAATTTTAGAATCAAATTTATTGAGAAAAATACTGCAAAAATAATCTAAGTTGAATTTTAGTCCTTTTCCATTCTTTTGAAGGCTACATTACACATCAGGGCAAAAGCTTCTTCACTACAGAAAATCAAGTTGAAAATAACTTACTGATTAAACTACAGGCAACTAATAACTAATAGGCTTATGAATATTTATGAATAAAGTATTACTGATTTCATGGTAATGAGCTCTAAACAGAAGAAATCCTTACTTACTAGTAGATAGTAGCTTTATGTATCTTCTCCATCCTGAGAACAGAAAGGACAGGAGAAACAAAGAAGCATCACCAAATGTGAGTGCTAGAATTACACAGGTTACCCCTAATCCAAAGCACAAAAAAACAAAACAAAATACTGTAATAAAGACAAAATAAGACTAAAAAAATGAAAAGTCCAAGAATAATGCTAAGAGAGTAGGCCTCTACATTGAAAAAAAAGGAGAAATTAAAGAAAGAAATTAAAGGTTAATAAATTATTTCTTCTATTTAATAAAATTATGCTGAGAGCCAAATGGTGACTAGCTCCAAGAAACAGAACCTCAAGAAGCATGTGCCGATGAAAAGACTCGACGACCTGGCATAAGCACGGTCTTCGAAAGGGGGTGCAGACATGAGGCTTTCAGAGTTTCAAAATTTATGTGACTGAAACCCAACGGACAGGCCTTCTATGAGGACCGCGTACAAGCCACGCCAATGTCCACTCGGGACACAGACATGCTTTCGGGGCCGGCTGATTTCCTCAGATGAACTTGTTAGCACAACTCTGCCAGCTACAGTCCTGTTTACATTCCTGCCATCAACCCAAACAACTCTTCAGCTAAAGATTCCTTCGCCACGTCTGAGCGTCACTAGTACCCGCCACTGTTTGAAATGTGGGGCCTTGGCACAAATCCCTTAGGAAGTAAAGTGTCTTAGTGTTTTGTGCTGTCTTATTTATAGTCAAAGCCTGGGTGTTTGTGTATGCTGGACGAGCAGTTATCCTGCATCCAAAATGACGGAGCACAAGCTCTCATTCATGAGTCTCCCCACGGTGTGCCTTCACCAGGAATATGAACCCCATGGGACGGTGTGGGGAGAAAAGCAGGGAGGGAAAGGGTAAAGGAACGTGACCTGCTACAGCTGCAGGTCTAATCTAACCTGAGGTGTTTTAAAATGTCATGTGCTGACAATGTGAGGAGAGAACCTCATGCTTCCAGGCCAGAGCGAAAGCCCGCTCCTGTGATGGGTCCCTAACCTGGCCACAGCACAGGAAAAGCAAAGAGCTCTCAACAACTGCATTCGCCTACACCTAGGCTTTTGAAGTTCAGACCAAGGGGAGCGGGGTGCCATCTGGAACGCACAGAGGAGCTCACTTAGGCCCGGGCTCCCGGGAAGCAAAAGGCGAAGGTCTCCTTCGCACTCAGAGCCCACACCCAGCAGCTCTACCCGGCGAGGCCGTGGCTCCCAGACCACTCAACCTGGCTGGTGCCCACACAGAAGGGTGGTCGAATGTTTTGAGTGTCATCGCCAATAGCCCCGGAAGGAAAAAGAACCCTGTTCTTCATGTTTATTACGACTGTGCTGCTTACCTCTTACAAAAAGCATCCACAAGCACTGACTAAATGCCCACCGGACGCCTGCTGAAAAGGCCCTTCCAATTTCACCTTTTATGAGCGTGCAAAGGCAATGAAATTATTCAACAAAACATTCAAGTTCACAGAATGTACCACTCCAAGAAAATGAAAGCAGAAGCATTTGATTCTCCTTACTTGTTAAATCTTTCTCTCTAACCAAATGTTTCTCTCTTCTGAAACACACACAAAAATTTAAAACAGTATCACTTACTGATTGGAAGACATCAACGCGTAGTCATTAATCTTGCTGAGGCCTAACACTAAGCAGCTTCACAAACACACAGCAAGTCTGCAGAATTGTAAGGTACGAGTAAACCCAAACTGCACTGAACACTTTCATGGCCAGGAAAAAGGAAGCAAAATGCTGTTTTCAGGACAATGCAATAGTTACAGCGTTATTTCCTCAGGTGCAGCACGATTTTCTATGTGTAGTGGCACTTAAGTATTACACAGTAAATACTGAAAGAACCCAGAAGTTTTGGATGTGCAAAAGCAATTATCACATTATTAATACAAAAGTTGCTAAGCTACAGGATTATAATACCACTATTTGGGTGTTGAGATCACTTAAAATTTTCAATACACTTCCGACACACGGTTTCCTGGCTGGCCACCAGCCTCCTCGCCAGGCTGTCCCCTGCCACCTCAGTCAGACCAGTCATTTTCATCCAGCTCCGAGTCGTCGTCCGAGTCGCTGTACTCCACGGCAATGCGTCTGGACAGGATCGTGGCCACGTCATTCCCAACCGGCTCGCGCTTGGCTTCTTGCTCACGCTGCTCTTGTACTTTTTTCAGCTGAATTCCTAGAAGACGCAATGCACGGTTTAGAATTAAATCCTTTGCATGCTCCCAATTAAGGAAAAACAAACTAGGAAGTCTACTTGACTTTTTTTTTCTCCTATTGACGTTAAGGATAAAAACAGTTTTGGAAATTTGAAGGGAGAAAAACTTGGGAAATAGAAGTTTCATGACTAATAAAAGAATGTACATAACAATTTTTACAGCAAAGTAATGGTGTGAACACCTTTAAAGAAAACCCGAGAGCTACGCTGTCCAACACAGGGTCCACGAGCCACAACAGCTGCTTCGAGCAAACTGACTGTGGCTGTGGCCACCTCGCGGGACCGTGTGAAAACGAGGCATTTCTATTGTTACAGAACACTTTCCTGAATAGGCGTGGACAGCTCTTTTCTAACCCGCGGAGGTAACTGAGAAAACTTTGCTTCAACAATTATTGTTGAAAATGGATATAAAATAACAACATCTCTCTTACCTAGTAACAAAATGGATTATATGATGATTTAATGTGCAAATTCTTTTGAATTAATTTCAGATTTATAGAGTAACTGTAACACTAGTATCAAAACGTTCCCATATGACCTACATCCAGATTCCCCAATGGGTAACATTTGAGCACACTTGTTTTAGCAATCTTTGTCCATCATTGTTATTAATATACACAGATACTTTTTTTCTGGACAATTTGAAAATAAGTAGCATATAATTTGCTATTTTGCCCTTTACCCCTAAAGTACTTTATGTGTAATTCCTAAAAAAACAATGATTAAATTAGATCAGCGTAGATATAATACTACCATCCAGTCTACAAATTTTATTTAAATTTTGCCAAAAGACCTAATATAGCAAATGAAAAAAAGTTTCCACCAGGTTTGGGATTCAATACCAATCACCTGTTACATTAGTTGTGGTGTTTCAACAATGATCCTTAATCTAGGCAGTTCTTCAGCCTCGGTGTTTTATGACTGACTGCAGTTTTGTAGAATGCCCTCAATATGGGCTCCGCAGAGGTTTTCTCACGGAAAGATAGTTACAATTATCACTCTTCCTGGGCAGGGCTCACAGTGTCAAAAATCAAAACACTGTCCTCTTGTGACCCCAAATTCGTTATCTCCGAGGCATTAAATAGCTGTGGGACACTCAAGACAGACGAGAACCCTGGGATCTGTAGGAGGCCTGACCCGGGTGCTGCAGCCAGGAGCAGAGGTGTCTGCGAAGGGCATTACAGACGCTCCAGCTGCTCCCTCAGTCACTTCCAGATGGGAGCAACTAACTGCGACCAAGCGCCTGGGCAGCTCCTCAGCGTATGAGAAGCGTTTAGAGTACCCGTACTTCCACACCCTGCTGGTGACCTTCGACCAAGCTGGGCTGAGACCTGAGGTAAAGAATACATGTATGCAGCAGGGTTTAATGTGGGGTCTGCAGGGCCGCACAGTGAGGGAGGCTCCCCACTCTGATTTGACAGAGATGTTCTGCCTTCTTGGTTCATGCTCTGGGGGTTTGGTGTAGGACTTCCGTCTGACAGAGTTCTGCTGCTATGTAAATGCTGCAAACTACTGGCTTAGCACATCAAGCTAAAAATATGGAAAGTCTAGGACATATTAGATATTTATAAAAGCAAAATCACTAACATGAGCTCATTTTCTTTCATTTATACTTTTACCATTAGAGTAGAATGCAGACAAAATAGTCAATATTTATTTCTAGTCAAGTAAACCTTTCCTGAAGTCTCAGTTCTTTACCATATGTTTACTTTGCACAGACAAAACCACATTACTATTTTTTAAAATAGCAAATAAAGCTCCTTTAACCATATTCTAAAAAACAATCTCATGTAGCGAGGAGTCCCCCGAAGACCAGGCTATAGCTGGTTGGGGACAGCAATCTCTTTCTGAATGGAAGATGGCACGTGTAGGGGATTCACTTACCCATTCGAATAGCGGCAAGAAGATCACTGCGAGCATCGCTTATGGGTGGTTGTGCAGTTTCTTGTCGTTTTGCCTCAGCTACTGGAGGGCCATGCATGGGGGAGGATGAGAGAGAAGAGCTTGTGCCAGGAGGGCCTGGCGGGGGAGGTGGGGGGCCCGGAGGAGGCGGGGCTGTGACCACCAGCCCAGTGGAGGGCGGGTGAGGAGGCGCTGGGTAGGAGGACCCAGCTGCTGCTGGGAAGGAGGGCTGCATGGGAATCTGGAGAGGACTGACGAAAGCAGTTTGTGCTGAAGGGATCATGGGGGGTGGAGGGGGCGGAGGTGGTCCCGAGGGGTTGTAATATTCAATGATCTGGGCTGGAAGCATCCTAATGAGAGAGGAAACACAGAGTTATTAAAGCAGCAACAGAGGATCACACCTGAGGTTCTGACATGGCTAGTAGAAAGGCCTCCCCCAAACACAATACCTAGTCATTTGGATTTAAGACACTGCAGGACGCAATATCCACTGTTGGGTCAGTTATTTCCACAGGTTTACATTATTCACTACGACAGGGTTCACGTCATTCACTGAAATGCACCCAAAAGATAACCACTCAGAGAGGGATTTCCTGTGAAATGCTAGGTAAGAAGAGCAACACAGATGCCTCCTTTATACCGGGCATCTCAAAAGCAGGTGGCTCACAAACTTGTTTTATAAGGGTTCTGTGGCCAATCAGATTTGAAAAATTCTGTATTTTGTATCTCATCTCCATGGAAATTCCCCAAGCCCACAATGTCCATCAGAATATCAAAAGCTTTGAAAAGTCCTACAGCCAAGAAATCCGAATTCTATTTAGTCTAAGGTTTTCCAAACCAGCTGGACCCCAGACTCTCTTCTTACCTGACAGTTAGAGCCTCAGAACAAACTTTGGGAGTCCTGACTTAACAAGAACCAACGATGGGAAACAGCCAGAGCTGTGTGGTCAGGGAGGATGCCCCCGAAAGCTGAGGGATGTACGTTTAGAAACTGATACATGCTGTTCTGGATACATGGTTAATGGAAACACACATTCGACTTTCCTGGGCACTGCCTCTGGGGGGTAACTCTTCAATATTAAAAAGAGAGTGCTAAGGCAGCCCATGTAAATACAGGTGGGTGTTTAAATTACTAACCACCCGAAGATGAGGGTCTTTCCTAGGGCAGTTTGAATTTCACTGATCAACAGGGAACAAGGTGGGAGAATGATGAGTGAGCACAAAGAGGTCAAGAAAGGAGATTATACAGCCAAGTGTAAGAAGGGGGGCAAGGGGTGTTGCACTGCATGGTGCTCTCATCTGTGGTATGAATTCTCCCTGGTTCACCCAGGATATACTGGTACAGAGAAATTTGAGGATTTGGGACAGGTTCACAGAATCGGAGTTCCATCCTTTATCAATGCCTCTGCTTAACGATCCACTCACAAATACACAAATACATGTATTAATGAGTATACACATGAATATAGACACAAACCTGAGATTTATCTATAATAAGAAAAGGGAACAGCACGACACTGTATTTTTTAACAGAACTTGTCATAACCAATAGTTTCCACATTCAGTCATTCTGGGTTGGCCTCTGGCCTCTAAAGTGTGACTATTTAATTAAAATTCTTAAACACACATAGCAAGATTCCATTGCAAGAGTGAGTAGCAATTAGAGTACAAGGAATATGAAATTACCCATAGTCTGCTGGAGCCATGGGTGCCGAGGCCTGGGACCCCTCTGCGGCCTGTGGTGGGGGTGGTGGAGGTGGCTGCTGAGGTCTGTTCAGGGCCATGTGTCTCACCGAGGCAGAGGGGGGTCGGTACTCATGCTCGGGGGCCTGGCTGGCCGGCCCAAGGGGCAGCGCGTCACCTGCTGCGTAGGAAGGGGTGACGGGCTGCGGGTGCAGAGAATGGTTGGGAGTCGCTGGATACGAGTAATCTGTGACATCCGATGCGTGAGACCTGGCATTCAAGAAAAGGGTGGGAGAAATTTAGGTTCAAACGATTTCCACTAACCAGCACATAAGCATATATTTGAATAATAACATTGCCAATACACAGAAATCACACATTTATTTCCTTTACTGTAAACTAGGCCCAGCCTCATGAGAGCTTCCAAGCAACAACGTAATGACGAAGTTAGCAGCGAGCCCGGTGTTACATGGAGTCAGATTCACGGCTTTAAAGTGAGCAAGTCAGACAGATGGGCAAGCAGAGCCCCACTTCACACCACATCAGCATACGGTCTTAAGAGAGAAGGCCATGAGACAAGTCCCACTTAATTCAAAAACAGAGGACTTCGGGGGCCATGAAGACAGAGGACTTCAGGGGCCAGGAAGCTGACAGCATATCATTAGAAATTACAAAATGGCAGATAAACTGGGTAAGTATCAACAGTAGGAACAGAAAAAGAAAGCAAGAATGCAGTGCAGTGAAAAATTCTTTTCTTAAACAGAAGAAATGTGTTTAGCCAAAAAAGGAAGACCATGGTGCACTATGGAAGGGCCTTCCTGCTTTCTCGGAATGCACAGTTGTGGGCGAAACTCTGAAAGGGATGGGGACTGTGTATTAGTTGACGGAGCTCAGACAGACAGAGGCCTTTGTGAAGGGGCACAGGGACTTGGAAAGGTCACAGCTGCACAAAATGGTGTTAGTAAGGGAGGTGCTCCTGGCCCGGTTACAGGACACGTGGTCAGTATGGGGGCGGCACATCCTCTCGTGATGGCCAAAGCAGGGTGGGCAGCCTGAGGACGGCAATGCAGAGAGCAAAACGACAAACCCTCTGGGCGCTCTGTCCTCTTTCGTGCTCCCTGCCTGCTCCAGGGTCCTGGCATCACTCATAAACTCAATGCCCATTTTCCTCCTCTCCCACTCTTCTCTTCTTGTTCTGACTTTTCTCACGTGTATCTGCTGGCTTCGGGGAGGACTCAGCTTGTGTTTCTCTCTCTGAAGGAAACAGGCAGACACACAGGGGATGTGGAGGAGCAGGGGAAACACCAACTGAACTTGGATCTTGGAATCAGACAGTAGCTTCCCTTAACTGGAGCATCTCAGACACAGAAAAAGCTCTCCACATGACGAGAGACTGCCCCCCGCCCCAATTGCGGTGTAATAATAACAATTCACTTTTTCCTTCCCGAACGGCAGTATAAATTCTGTATTACAGAGTGCATATGATTATATCTTTTGAGCTATGCAAACTGCTGGCAAGTCAAAAACATTTTTAATGGGGGAACAACTTAGCATATTTTCACAATGTAAAGACCTAAAACCCTGGAGTCCTTGGTGATGTATGCTTGACTCTGTATGTGACTATGTCATACGCTATGTGTACAATTTCTAAAGGAAACAAAGTGATCTGGAAAAATATAGAGCACTTCTCATGAGATGAGGAGCCAGAAATTATAAATATTCTGGAACAATGTAGATGCTGTCCTTATAAAGAGCTTTGTGACACAGCCAAAAGGAGTTAATACGAAGGAGGATAACCGGACTGGTGAGTGAATAGAGGAACAGGCAGTGAATGTCTGAATTCGAGAATTACAACAGGAGGGCTGTGGACGGCAGGACTTGGAGGGGAGGTGGGCAGGACAGAGGACTGGTTTAAGAGTGAAGGCTCATTTAAAGGGGAGCCCAGTGGCTGGAGGAAAGGTGAGGAGTGGGGTGACTGCTGGAGACAGGGACCCCCATGCGGGAAGGTAGAAATCAGCTACAGAGACACACACCAATGTGGAGATGAGAGGACTGGTCCTGTGACCTCCTGTTACAGGAGAGAGAACTGGTAGAAGTGAGATGATATGGAAACAGGAAGAAGTGTAAGCAGTGGAGACGTGGTGGGAGAAGCCAGGGACTCCCCAGGGTTTTGTGGGCGGACAGGTGGGCAGAGTCAGAGCTATAATACAGGCCTGGAGAGGATGAAATAGCTCAAGGACAGCGGAGCATGGAGGTCTCTCTCTCTCCTAGACCACAGTGAGAAAGAGCCGGGGGGAAGTATTTAATCAATTTTCATCCTGAATTTACACTTAAAATCAAACCACTGCTGATAATCTACAGAGAGCGCAAAAATGTATCATTAGTGTATATGAACCATTTTTATGTACAAAATATATTACTTATATGAACAGTGTTATTATATACAAGCCATAAACCTTAATATTCAAAATTTCCTCAGTTATTTGAAAACCGTGATTCTAAATAATACTTAAAATATGAATACAAAACATTAAAAAGTCAAAAGGCAGAAAGTATAGAGCATGATTCCAATTTTTTAAAAAACATATACATCTTTACAGGAAAAAGACAAAAAGGAAAAAGTACACTAAAATGCAGATAGTGGTTTCTCTGGATAATAGGATTATGGATAATATTTTAATGTTTTCTGTAATTTCCAAATATAAAAGATTATTTTATAATAAGAAAAAGTGATACACTTTAGTGAAATAAAAAATTTCTAAGTTAATTTAAGGGATGTAATCCAAGTACAGTATTAATTATAATCTACTTATATGGTACGTGCATATAGTGAGAGGCCATGAAAAACAGTATGAGACAAAAGGAAATTCTAAAGAAACAAAACTGATTAATCTATTTGCTTTTTGAAAAATAAAAGAAGTAAAGATATATCTAAATATATAAAAATTTAGATACTAAATCATCTGCATAATTTTATACCCAGCATGAAGCAATCTAATCTCAGATGTTAGAATGAGCATCAACCATTCAACTGAAGGATTAAAAAATCATTTTTTTTGTCTGTATATATTGAAATAAGAGTGCATACAGAGTATTATAAAATAAAGTATATGTTTTGCATGAGTAAACAATACAACTAAATTAGCTGGGGAAAAAACCAACAAAAAGTAAACGGACATATTGGGAGCGCTCAGATTTAAGTGCTTCTCCCATCCAAAGAACTATGTGTAAAATTGTCGACAGAAAAAACTGACATAAAGATCCAACCTTGAGACTAGAGCTCAGTTAAAGCTCTAATAATTCTCTAATATTTAGCAGATAACAACTTCTACAGAAAAATTACCTAGAACTTGCCTCATATCCAACCAATGACTTATAGCCCTTCTGGGGCAGGAACATTCACAGGCCCTGTAACTACCAAATGTTAAGCAGCTTCTGTATGCAGTCTGTGCTAAGCACTGAAATTATAAAGAAAAAATTTATTTTAAAAGGACACAGATCGGAGGCCAGGTCCAGGTTGTTGCTGTTTTTTAAACATCCTTCAATCACATAGGAATTCTCTGTTCAGATTTTTAAATGATGATGGAAGACTTAGAGAGATTATGCAAATGCAAGACAACAACTTTACAAGGGCAGAAATAGGAAATTAAACCGTAAGTTAAAATTGACTAGTTAGTCCCTGTTGTTCAATGAATCCCTTCTGTGAAAAATGTGACTTATTGATCGCATCATTCACACCTGCAAGAAATATTTTTACTTAATTGCTAACATAATTTTAAAGTAAACACCAACAGAATTCTCCTGAAATCAGAGCACATAAGATTAGTGAACTGAAAAAATAAATACCTTTTGCTTGTCACTTTTTACAAAGGTCAACAAACAGCGCAAAGAAATTATTCCTTGATCACATCAATTACTACCTACCAATCGTTTTGATATCAAATAGCAAAAGAAATTCAACTCTAAGCTAAAGAGTAAGACAAAGAATTAAATGATTAAAATAAAAATGTAAGTCACTGGCAGTCATTAAGCCCAAATTTAGAATCCATGTTAACACACTACATATCTAGATTAACTGAACAAAAAAGTACCGTATTTGCCGGCGTATAAGACGACGGGGCGTATAAGACGACTCCCTAACATTTCCACTCAAAATACAGAGTTTGTTATATACTCGCCGTATAAGACTACCCCCTCTTCCGCACACCTTCCACACACCAAATAAAATGTAAAACAATATCAGATTTGATTTTAACATTTTAATTTATATTCAAATGCTTATGACATGCAGGAAAACTGTCACAAGGCTGTATGTAATCAAACATATACATAAAACAGTGCAAGTTTATTACCGGTAAACATACCGGTAATTCACTAAAGAAAACACACTCTATAGACTGGTACCGTAGATGCTTCTCAGGAACACAGGCAAGCAGCCCACAACCTAGAGGGACTGTCAATGATAGAAGAAAGATAACAAATAGAGGTAGAGAGCAAGTGCCGGGCAAGTCCCTAGCAA